TCCCTAAAGCTTTTTGGAGGTTCTAAGTGTAAACACAAGTCACTATTTACAGATGCTGAAATAAAGTAATGTTTATAAGGGTAATTAGCTGAGAATAAATGGACTTCAAAACCAGATTTACGATGTTAAAATATCATATGCGAAACGATATTCTTCAGATTTCTCTGTTTTTCGAAACAGTGGGCAGTCCGCTACTTCTGACAATATGAAGGACCAACTCCCACACATGGCCACTCTGGTGTGCACACATCAGTTCACTTGCTGTTGCAGAGCTAGTTACATTATTCCTATTCACGACCTTACAAAACGTGTTAGAGATAGCTACCCAGCTTTGCTGCGAAGAGGTAGTATGGGTTCAGTCAGAAGCGTTAGTAATGGACAGCTCATCAGCACCTGTCACTGCATCTCAGCTAACTCGTCACTTAGATCCACCTGTAAAGTGATGAAAAGTCTACTAATTGCACTGTTTTCTTATTTCTTTTTACTGCAGAGGCCCATGCCATATGCATCCAGAAGGCAGAACTGTGTTTCCAAGAAACTAGTACAATCTCTACATCTACTACTGATCTAGCTTTGTCTGACTCCTGAACTTTCATTTTGCTCCATCACATTCATTTTTGTCTCAGACAGCTATCAAAATTATTTCATTTTGTTTCTATGCACATCCTGTTCACACATTTCTTCAATAAAAACTATTTCATATTTTGTACAGCTATACTCTAATCCTGCGCAGTTCTGTTTCTAAGCCCCTTGTAATACGTATTCACACCTTCAGCTATTTACATCAGGCTGAGAATTGTTATTACATTTGATCCTCCCTCGTGTTAAAATAAATAGTAATTATAACCACGCCAGCTAATGTACAGAATTGCGATTGTACATCTCTTGAGGATGAAATCGCCAAAGACACATCTGTGTTGAAAACTTACTCGTCTCTCTGTAATGCCTTGATTGGCTATTTGATTGTATATTTGTCTAAGGGTTGACATTGACTAGGATGATTTACGTAGTAGGTGATCTTCAAACCACCTATAACCCAACCGTTCACATGGTATTTAAAGCGCATATGCTAGTTGGGGCGTCAAACAATCAGTCATCCAGTTTTACTGAACTACTGCAAAAGCTTTAGGGGCTTTAACGGCGTCTTCCTCACTCGTTCAGATAAACAAGACCTGTTGGTCTGCCAAATGATTTCTGTGAAGCCGAGTAGCCTAAAAGTACTAAGCAAAGTCGAAAACCTTTTTTCTTATCTTACGCTCTATCAATCCATTTGTCCTTCCTCTACTGGTCATGCACCGTTGCCATCTTTCATTCATATATAAGCACAATTTATGATGATTGGTAATGTGCTACCTGGGATTAGCCTTAAAAAGAGCACTAAGATACCATATCTTGCAGTAACTAGGGATTCGGTAAGAAGAAGTAACTCAAGGATATCAACTCCATCTCATATAGTGGCCCTTAAGACTCGTCCAACTACTTCCGAGCAAGTTAAATGCTTGAGTGCAGCGGACCCACCGCCTACTGGACTCCTAGAATCTACATACTTTCTTTTCACCGTAGGCCACGCTAAGCGCTCACTAGGTGGCATTTACCGATCACCCACCCGTGGAGCAGAGCACAACCAGTGACATGAATTGGATTATGACCAAATTAACATAGCTAGAGATTCCAATACCTCATCCCTGCACCTAGGCTCGGTGTATTCTTAGGGAAAATTCGGCCTAAATCTGCCACAAACCATTGAAAACGTGGGAATTTTTGAGAGCTTTGAAGACGACACTAAGTGGGGCCCTAGTAAGAAGTCATCGAAGCTAGATTATATTCTAATTGGTGACCAGTCACTAGTCGGAAATATTATATCATGACCCACCAGGGAGGTGTGACCATGCAGTCATACTTTCGGTCTTGTTCTCTGTGAGCGCCCAAAGTGAGACGCTACGCGACCATGTCTGTGCTGTGACAAGGGAGACTATGCCGGAACGTGGAGGCTTTTGCCCGACGCCGAATGGACTGTAGAATGGGCTGAGTTATCTGTGGATGAACATCGTAGAGTGGCACAAGAGACTATCCGCACAGCGATCTCAAATACTGTCCCTCTAGTTACAACACAGCCGAATAAATAGACCTCATGGCTGAAGAGAGGTACACAACGTATTCTGCAAGCAAAAGCAGAAGGCTTGGTCTAAGTGGCCAATATCCGAGAGTCAGACTGACCACGATTCCTGCTTCGAACTCTGGAACCAGCGCAACACAAAAGTCAGGAGTGACAGGATGTCATTTCAGGCTAAGCCGGCTCAAAACTTCTGGCGAACTCTTAAAGCCCGTACCGAATCATGTCGGGGAAAAAAGACCAACCAACCAGACAGCATGCGGCTTAGTATGTCCAAACGGCCAATATCTCTCTGCTTTGGAAATGGCTAAAACAATCAGTTTAGCCCTCGCCAAACAGCTAAGTAGCAATGTGGGCAGTATTGGCAGAGGCCATAGAGGCGGCACTACAATTTTACCGGCAGTGAACTTAATGGATACACCTTAAACGAAGCCGATAGTGGTGCTAGAAAGGTTGCAGAGACCCAAGTCTGGAAAGTCCGCAAGTTGTGACGGCGTCAGACCTTTTGATCTGAAACAGTGCGCGAAAGCTCTTTGTATGGCCTTAAACGACCTGTTCCAACACCCAATGGATTCAGAGAAACTTACAGGGGAGTGCAAAAGAGCCATCCTTTTTCCGATTTTCAAGGGTGGTGACAGGCGTAACGGCACCAGTTGTAGACCAGTGGTGCTACTCCAGGTGGTATCAAAAGTGCTGGAAAGTCTGATTGATGATCACATCGGGGAGCACCCTGACAAGACTAAGAGATTCCATGAATCACAACACGGTGTCAGGAAAGGCAGGTCCTGTGTAAAAAACTTACCTTCAGCTTGGGACGATTGGACATCATGCTGGAATATGAATATTCCAGTCCATGTAATCTTCCTAGACTTTGAGAAGGCATTTGACTTAGCTCACCATACCTTCTCCTACACAAAATAAGTCAGGCAAGTGTGGGTGGTATATGTATATCGGTTGACTGACTGTTGTTATGTTTTCTTATTCTTTTTCTGTCTGTTAGTCTGAATACCTTCACTAATTATATCTATTATTATTATTATCTCTTTTCTATTGACGACGATACCGAAGGAACAACTGGTGAAAGGATCAACTTCATTCACAGTAGTAGCAGTCTTAACACACCTCATACTACTAACCACATATAATTAATCTCTGCACTACTCCTTTTGGAGTCAACCAAAGCTACGACAGTCGAGTGGCGGGACGAGCTACGCAGACGTTTACCGAAGATCAGGAACGTCTACCTCACAATCAAGAGGCGAGCACAGAGAAATCAAATTGGTTTATACTAGCTCGTAAAAACGATTTTGGATATTGTTGCCTTGTTGCTATTGGTTTCAAGTGGCCTTGGTTTGGGGGGAAGATTTAACTGATGTAACATTGCCATTTCATAGACAAAGAAAGTTACTATCCTGAAATAAGTACAAGTTGTTCATAAAGTAAGGAGGACATTATTTTTCATTTTATTTGTATATATAGTGCATAATTCCTAGACCTGTTGTAATCATTCCCAATCCGACAAAAGTGCGGAAAATCGTGTCTATAAAGAGGACAGATCTGGGACATCCAATGGAGTTAAAAAGGGGACAAAACTCGGAAATGCTAAGACTTGTCCCCTTTGTCCCAGTTCCCCCCACTTTGTCCCCTGAATCAGCAGAATGTCCCCTTTCTTCTAAATCATGTTGTCCCCTTAATCAGCAGAATGTCCCCTATCTGTCCCAATAGTGTCCCCTTAATCAGCAGAATGTCCCCTATCTGTCCCAATAGTGTCCCCTTAATCAGCAGAATGTCCCCTATCTGTCCCAATATTGTCCCCTTATTCAGCAGAATGTCCCGTATCTGTCCCAATATTGTCCCCTTAATCAGCAGAATGTCCCCTATCTGTCCCAATATTGTCCCCTTAATCAGCAGAATGTCCCCTATCTGTCCCCTTAATCCGCGGAATATCCCCTTTATGTCCCTATATTCATCGTTTCTTTTTATCCTAAAACGCAGAATTCCTCCCTGTTACTCGCACCATTTTTCCTTCATTCTTTTAACGTCAAACAACTCAAAATTCAAAGAAAGGTTCGTTTTTGAACTAAATATATTTAATTTCAGTATTCGTTAATGGAAAAAAGGAAACAAAAATTCGGCAAGTTCATTCTTAAAGATTAATGAACATTAACAGTTACAAATGATACAGACAATTAATAATAATAATCCATGGAGCAATTCAAGAAATACAAAAATATTGTCTTCGCATTAAAAAAAAACCCAAGTATGTATTGGATGGCTTACAAATACTTGGGAAAAAATAAAGCTTGAAGTCATATGAAGTCTAAATGCGGCTTGACATCTGCTCGCCGTCATCCAGTAGGTCCATTGACATATTCTGAAAATTAAAAAAATTTTGTTAGCAAGGTAGTAATCAAAGGTGACACTTATCAAGACATTTGACATAATCATATACTAGACGTGTTTATGGAGGTTTAAAAATTAGATTCATTATTAACTACAAATAAATTATTTGTTCACGTACAAATACTCACAATGGAAGACCTTAAGTGTGAGTAATCTCTAATGTTCCATTTCCCAGTAAACATACAAAAATAATTGAGTCGTAAAAGGCAAACCGTGTACTGTTGAACAAACTATCTACCTAAACACCTAGTGCATGTAACTAACAGAACTAGTTTTCATAACGTTGACAATTACACGCTATTTACTGGCAGTGGCATCATACATTTAGACAGCATTCATTTAATGAAATTGTCACTTACAGCAGAGATGTTCTGGTCACTCTTCTTCTTGTCAACAGCAACCTGTGAAAAATAATTTGCGTTTATTGATATTCATACAAAGGTTTGCAGTTTAGTAACTTTAATTAACCAGAAACTTTACTTACTCTTGGCCGGCTACACCTTTTGTCGACACGATCACGTACGTCGAGGAAGTAGGCCTTAGTAGTATCTGTCAAAGCTTTCATAACTTCGTCCTCGGGCATCGTAGCAGAAGCGAACTTGCTGACAATGACGGCTGAAAGAAATATTTAAATAAAGCACGCTTACACGTTATAACTTTATAGAAGTGACATTTTAAGAGAGCTAGCTTCTTCGATGTTCCGTACGCAGTGAAGCGACTTGACAGCTTAGGCTCCCATATGTAATTCAGCATTCGTTTCAAGGAAGATTGCGGATTGTACGATAAATTCTCAGCCAGTTTTGTCATCTGAACGTAATTGAAGGTTAACTGTGAACTTACGAAAGAATCTCTGAATTTTGGGTTTTTCACTGAAGCTTCAAGTTGGTTAAACTCTTCTTCAGTGGTCAAGGGGAATTGCAGTTGACTGTTGTCAATTGACGACTTCCCGGTTCCCAAGGTGGTGACGTCGCCCGACTTATTTACTGAAACAAACTGCCTCACCAGTTTACTAAGGGACTGCATTTCTTCTTGAAAGGAAGCCATTTTTCCATTCAAGAAATCAATTTTTCCTTCAAGGGACTTCAATTTTTCGCTAAGGGAGTGTGACTCAGTCACCGATTTGTTATAGGAATCAGTGATTTCCTTACTGCAAAGTAACTAGTGATTAAAAATAACATACGTGGTCTGCCTATTTGGCTGTGTGATTGGTGACGACGTAGCCACAGGCATTTGTTGACTGGAAGTGCTGAAGGAATAAGAATATTAAATGAATGCGCTACCTGGCTGTTGGTGCCATGAAATTGGTGTTAGGGTATTTAGATGGCCTACACACTTTTTGTGCCTCCACAGCTTCCAATTCAGCCGAGTCATAAAGGTACGAGGCGAAGTTCCTTGTCCCCACTCTGTATTCTGTCATTAACGGATAAGAAGAATCTACCTTTGACGTTTGGAATCGGTTAGGGGCAATGTCTCCTCGAGATTAACTGAATTGGACAGGATATTATGCACCCTTTGTACAGACGACAAAGCACTCTTGGCTTCTCGAAAAGAGTCTATTTACGGGAATATAGTTAGTACCAAAAAATAGTTACCTTTCTCGACTACTATCTGACAGGGAACAATGAGCCAATTCACTGCAGGGTTTACACATGCTTCGACTTCACATTCTGTTACACTGCTCGGATAAAGGCACACATTATCCGTCAGCATCCACCTTTTCGCGGCTAGGAAGTATTCATTGACACCAGGTTTTGTTAAGACAACGTAAGTCTTCTTTTGTCTGTTATAAGGTGTTAGGCTGCTGCAAGGTGGCGATGACACTACCTCGGTTTCAACGGTCATGGTATCAGTGTTCACTGAAGACGACTCGACTTCAACAGGAAGGACAGCAGGTGTGACAGCCTCTGTTGACATCGACGCAAGTAACTGCGCATAGTTACGTTTATACCTTCTGTAAAATGTGGTGTAATGGCAGGTCAATCGTAGGTTACGCTGACGTAATCTTTTTAGGCTTAATATAGGGAATTTAGTGTTAGACTAGGAGAAAAATTAGACATGAACCACAGCGACCACTTACCTGCATCGTGAAAAGTTTGAAAGTGCGCGCACAATGTGTGACTAAACAAAAAAATTGGGCGCTCTGCAATAAACACTGACCACAGATGTTTTCATAAAATCCACTGATTGGTCAGTAAGCATGAACCAACATATAACACCTTCTTTGTTAAACGATGAGTCACGTGAGTGACATTATTCGCAAATACCTTGACCCCTTATATTATCACAGTCAAAGTGACAATAACAAGTCACAGGTAGATTTCTCAGTGTGGCTGCACTCTAATGCTATTGGTCACTATTCTTAAAGTATCTGCGTTTATATGCAGGCATACATACATACACATATGTGTATGCGTGTGGGTCTGTCTGGATTACTATATGACGGAAAACGCTTTAGTTATCAGGAAAAAAACTACTACCATTCTTGCTTTTTAGTGTTAGCACTTTCTTCTGTGTTCTGCTTGTAGGATGTTTTAAAAATATTCTACAGGAAACTGTAGATGTAATTACATTAAGAAAAACGTATCAATTAATTGATGCGTTATTCTTCAATTGAAGTAGTGGTGACGTAATTTCAGCATAAAAAGTTTACTACTTACAATTTATCAGTAACCTCCAGTTTACATTAAAATTTTCCATGGTTTCCCCTTTTTTGTCCCCTTGATTTGGATTTTTCCCCCTTCTGAAATAAAATACACTCTTTTCGTCCACGTTTTCCCAAAAATGTCCCCTTTTTGTCCACACATTTTTCCGAGTGGGTTACCAGGGAACAGTCTTGTCAACTTAGTGTATGCTGATGATATTGTCCACTTAGCCAGTGAGAAGTGACCATTGAAACTGGAAGATATGAAAAGACTACTGGTTTTTGATCGTAGTGTCTGTTCCCTTTCTTCTGTGTTAAGTGGTCTAATATGGTGAGTAATATTGAGGTTAAGCTTAGTGTTAAGTAAAAATGTGACTCCAAACATAGTTAATAACACAGATGCATTCACTTTGTGTAATCTCACATACCTGAGCAACCCTTATGTTTCTTCCGAATCACTGTTCGTTTTCGATGACATTTATGCTCATTAGAGTTCCATTTAATTTCTTTTTTCTCTACCTTTGTGTGCTACATGGAATGTGATAACTTAAACGGGTGCACTTGTGTGCAAGCTTCTGTGTTGAAAGTCTGTCTGTCAGAATGATCTATAGTCCAGACATAATAAAATGTTAAAACGTGGATAAAAATAAGCGAAATGTCAACAAATGATAATCGTATCTTTTTCATTTGGTTCTTGTCTAACTGAAAAAAGAGTTATCTTACAATAATTTCTCCTCTTACCCGAGATAACTATCATCCTCTGTCTCGCTATATCTCATGAGTTAGTTTATTTTACTCGGTAGCCCATGTTTTGGTTATTACCAACTAAATATAACATTTTTCAAGTGTGGAGTGTAACAAATCGAACTGCTGCACTTCTGTGCTGAGTTCCATGTTAAAACTCAGTTAGTCAGCTTTGTCACTGCAGCTGGCTAGTGTCACAACTCACTACAGTGTTAATTGGCTAAAACAATTATGAATGCCGTTTCTTAAGTACTCTATACATTTCCCAATTCCTTAAATTGTCCAGATAAAGTGCACTGAAGAAAACATTAACCAAAAGTCAGTAACACGGACATAAGAAATAGTCTGAATAGAAGTGAATGAGATGGGTGATTTTTTTAAACCTGTAGTACGCTCAACTAAAATACTCATGTATATGAATGAAACAAAAAGTTGTGTAAGTGACTTGATATGATTATGAGCAGCAATAGTTTCTGCTCGAAACGTCATCAGATAATATTACTGTACAACACTGTGTGATTTATGAAAATAAAAGTCTTATCCATAATGGAGTTATACTCTACCACAGTGCACAAATTTTATATTTATATGAAAAATAGGTATTTTATGCGTTATATATCTCCTACTTGTTTCATTTTTATCTTCCTCAATGCAGGTTGTCAGTCTTCTTAGACATTCTACTAGATGTCGTCATACATAGTGTCTGCAAGCAGTCTTTCAATACATCCACTCCCACAAAGTTGTAGGTATGAAGCCTTGAGATTATTCAATTCGGACCGTAGTACAATTAGTATGCTCACATTACTGATGCAATGACATGCAAGACTTGTACATGTTACTGTGAAGTTTGCCTGTAATAACATTCCCTCCATAGTAAATACAATGCTCGTGATAACAATTCGTCATTATCTTTTCATTGTGTTGATAGGTGCGGATATATTAGAAAAAAGCTAACCTTGTCGTATTAGTTCTCTGAAATACTTTCACTAAGTGCCCATACCTCTACTGAATACCAATTGCTACTTGTGGCCCGTGAAATACTTTTAACCGCATTCGTAAATAACTACCTAACTATTATTATAAGGAGTAGTGAGACAGAAGGTGTATGAAATTTAGATATTAATGTGTATCTGAAGTTACTGACACAATATAATATATGTGCATGTTTCGAATTGATATCATGCGTCTAATCCTATTAACCTACGGATATAGTTCTTCCTTCACGATATCTCAGAAGTCAGGAGCACACTGTCTTTGGCAGATCTAGTTTTACTTTGTGACTATTTGGTGAGTCACCTAGTGTTGTGGCAGTAGAAAAAACAACTTCAAGCCTGAGTATTTTCTAGATGGGGACATTTTTACTTACTTCGGCGACGATTTAGTCTTTTAATCAAGAAATCCCTAGAGATATCAACCTTTACTTAGTAATTTGGATCCGAAAGTAAACGCCATGTTACTAAGCTATTCAAAAGACAGAATTATGAGTGAAATAGTCTTAAATCAAAGACAAATTTAGTTATTCACTAAATTAGTAGTTTCAGGAGGCTACTCTACTCTTGCCTTCGAAATACTTTGCCCGATCATGTTTTACTTCACATTGTGTGTATGTTGGCCAGTTGATGTTGATTATCCAGTTATACTGTTATTCAGTTGCGCTGTCCCACCTCTGTTCCTATCAAACAAAGTATCCCTTAAACCATCAACAAGTTACCTTAACTATTCGCATGTAAACGATGCTGTAAGCTTTATCCCTTACGTGATGTTTCAACTTTCGAATAATCAGTTTTCCCTTACGTGAGCACCTATTTCAATTTCAACGGATAGCTCTAACCTTCGACTACTGCACTAGTATGCTTCGTTATAAACCATCCTTCCAAAATATAGGTAATGATAATGATTACTGCTAAGAAATTTATCACGACAACAAGAATGTACTGCATATTAATGACAATATAAGTCAAAGGCGAACCTCTCTTCTAAATGCACTACTCAATGTAACACATGAAGCTAATCTCCCAAACTCTGTAGCTCACAACCTTCGATAAAGTTAATGTTCACTATTAACAGGTAGAATATCCATTTTAGGAATAGGCAATACATTTATTAGTGATTTAACACAGAATACAAAATCAAAGATACTGGGAACCACTTTCTTCAGCAACGAATCCCACGAGGTCACTGGAATTACAGAGTAGCTAAAAAAAGAAAACAAGGGTTTACATGATGTATACACGAATATCAATATTAATATAATAATTAGCACAGTAGGAATAAATAAACGTTTATATCAATGTGCGTTACATCAGTCACTATTTTTGACACAAGTGGATGTTTAGACAAAGTAATAGGAAGACGTAGTTTTAAGAAAGCAATATTCAGCGAAGAGACTCTTTTAAACGAATTTATTATCAAGCTGTACAATCGTATATATATGGTTTTTAAGAAATTATATCCGGTGAGGGAATTAGGTCAAAGGTTTGAATACATGAAATAATAATAGTATGAAATGCAATTAAAATATTTGTGATTATAATCATAGTTTAATGTCAAGTGGCACAATAGTTAATGTCGTATACAGACTAATACATAAGGTGTATAGATTTTGGAAAAGGGTACATAATTACAAGATTACTAGACGAATATAAAATGTTACATATCATGGTATGAAATTTGATAAGACAGAATTCAATATTGTAAAAAATATAAAAACTAATAATTTTAGGTTTAAAATGTCAAGTGGGTCAAGTGAAAAAGATTCAGAGTGAGAATAGTAATAATAATGATGATAATAATATTAATAATAATAATAGTAATAAGGGAAGACGTAGTTTGTCTGAATCGGGTAGTGTTGTATTTGCGCAACACATTTTGGACAATATGGTCACGCATGGACTTGTCATAGGAAAACATATGAAATTAATAGAGTTAAGAGGCTAGAAAATTAATCACCATTAACGTTTGGTAATGGTCAGCGACAAGGTCTTCTCGAGATTACCTGACCTTTCCATGATATTTCTCATTCTCTGTATAGACGACAAAATATCCTTGGCTTCTAGAAAAGAGTCTAATTACAGGAATGTAGTCACCCAATCGGACAAATGTGTGGACAAAAAGGGGACATTTTTGGGAAAACGTGGACAAAAAGGGGGTGTATTGTACTTCAATAAAGGAAAAAATCCGATTCAAGGGGACAAAGAGGGGAAACCATGGAAAATTTAAGTGTAAACGGGAGGTTACTGATAAATTGTAAGTAGTAAGATGTTTATGTTGAAATAACGTTACCATTACTACTACTACGCATCAATTAATTGATACGTATTTCTTAATGTAATTACATCTACAGTTTCCGGTTGAATATTTTCAAAACATCCTACAAGCAGAACACAGAAGAAAGTGCTAACACTAAAAAGCAAGAATGGTAGTAGTTTTTTTCCTGATAACTAAAGCGTTTTCCGTCATATAGTAATCCAGACAGACCCACACGCATACACATATGTGTATGTATGTATGCCTGCATATAAACGCAGATACTTTAAGAATAGTGACCAATAGCATTAGAGTGCAGCCACACTGAGAAATCTACCTGTGACTTGTTATTGTCACTTTGACTGTGATAATATAAGGGGTCAAGGTATTTGCGAATAATGTCACTCACGTGACTCATCGTTTAACAAAGAAGGTGTTATATGTTGGTTCATGCTTACTGACCAATCAGTGGATTTTATGAAAACATCTGTGGTCAGTGTTTATTGCAGAGCACCCAATTTTTTTGTTTAGTCACACATTGTGCGCGCACTTTCAAACTTTTCACGATGCAGGTAAGTGGTCGCTGTGGTTCATTTTTAATTTTTCTCCTAGTCTAACACTAAATTCCCTATATTAAGCCTAAAAAGATTACGTCAGCGTAACCTACGATTGACCTGCCATTACACCACATTTTACAGAAGGTATAAACGTAACTATGCGCAGTTACTTGCGTCGATGTCAACAGAGGCTGTCACACCTGCTGTCCTTCCTGTTGAAGTCGAGTCGTCTTCAGTGAACACTGATACCATGACCGTTGAAACCGAGGTAGTGTCATCGCCACCTTGCAGCAGCCTAACACCTTATAACAGACAAAAGAAGACTTACGTTGTCTTAACAAAACCTGGTGTCAATGAATACTTCCTAGCCGCGAAAAGGTGGATGCTGACGGATAATGTGTGCCTTTATCCGAGCAGTGTAACAGAATGTGAAGTCGAAGCATGTGTAAACCCTGCAGTGAATTGGCTCATTGTTCCCTGTCAGATAGTAGTCGAGAAAGGTAACTATTTTTTGGTACTAACTACATTCCTGTAATTAGACTCTTTTCTAGAAGCCAAGGATATTTTGTCGGTTATACAGAGAATGAAAAGTATTATGGACAGGTCAGGTAATTTCGGGGAGCCCTTGTCGCTGACCAATTCCAAACGTCAACGGTAGATTCTTTTATATTTAATGACGATATTGCAGAATGGTGAAAAAGGATTACTCCTCTTACGTTAATGACTGCGCTAAACTAGAATCAGTGGAGGCGCACAAAGTGTGTGGGTCATATGGATGCCCTGACTCAAATATCAGAGGGACTGTGATATCACCCATAGCCAGGTGGTAGCCCACTCATTTAATATTCTTATTTCTTCAGCACTTCCAGTCCACAAATGCCAGTGGCTACGTCGTCACGAGTCACACAGCCAATTCTTCAGACTACGTATGTAATTTTGAATTACCGGTTACTTTGCAGTATTACGGATTCTTCTAACAAATTGGTTACCGAGTTACAGTCCCTCAAAGAAGAAGTGCAGTCCCTAAGAGGAGAAATGCAGTCCCTAATTGAAATGGTGATGCAGTTGATTTCACTTACTAGGTCCAGCAACGTGTCCCTCTTGGAAACCAGTAGGTCCTCTATTGACAATAGTCAACTGGAATTCCCTTTGGCGACCGAAAAAGAGTTAAACCAACTGGAAACGTCACTGAAAACTCCAGAATTCAAGGATTCATTCGTAAGTTTACATTTTTAACCATTGATTACGTTTAGATGACGAAAATGGTAGACAGTCTGTCATTAAGTCCGCAGTCTTCGTTGAAAAAAATGCTTAATTACATTTGGGAGCCTAAGTTGTCAATTCGCTTCACAGCATATGGTACATCAACAAAGTTAGCCCTCACAAAATGCAGATTCTATAAAGTCATAATGTGTAAGCATGCTCTATTTGAATATTTCTTTCAGCCGTCATTATTAGCAAGTTCGTTTCTGCCACAATGTCCGAGGAAGAATTGCAGAAGACTTTGAAAGCTTGCACTAAGGCCTACTTCCATGATGTACGTGATCGCGTAGCAAAAAGGGGAAGCCGGCGAAGAGTAAGTAAACATTTTTTAGGTTAATTAAAGTTGATATACTAATACAAACAGTTTCATTGTATGTATGTCACTCAACGAAATTCTGATTTAATTTTTTACAGGTTGCTGTAGACAATAAGAAGAGTAACCAGAGGCTCGCTGACGTAAGTGACAATTTAATTAAATGAATGCTGTCCGAATCTACAATACAACTGCCAGCAGCGTGTAATTGTAAACGTTTTGAATAATTAATACTGTTGATTATACGAACTACCTGTTTATGTAGACAGTTGGTTAAACAGTTAATGGTTTTTCTATAATCTCTCAGTTGTTACTATATCGGTGGGGAAAATTTCCACCTTTAAAAAATAGACCGTAAAGTGCGACCATTTATTTATTTTGAATAAGTAATTTGATTTCTGCTCAATAATTATGAAAATTTTCACAACTGAATTACCCAGTTTATAATGCCACACCTCAGTATAAGTGTGACTGTCGTTTACTGCCTTGCTCACTAAAAATTTGTTTCCTTTTCAGGATACTTCAATGCTGCATCCACTTGGTGATGGAGGGCAGGTGTAATGCGGAATTCACACATCATGTTTGTATTGTGTATATATATTGTATATAACTCTAAGTGTTCATTAATTGTAAATAATTAATTTTGCAGAATCATTGTTAAATTTTTTCGATTCCCTATTAAACAACTGGAATATATATATGCATGAATTAATCCCAGCGTGTTCACCAAAAAAAAACAAGAATTTCCTGAACGTTTCACTGTATAAACCACAGCTTCCTCAACAGAATTATTCGGATTTTATTAATCATCAAAATATATATTCAAAATTTTCTTTTACATAAACTGAAGTTTGTTTATTTGAAGGTTGCTTGTGGATATACATTTGTACCGATAGAAATATGTAAGCAGTCGTCATATATATCTGCAATGACTAATGTCAAATTGTTATTGTGTATATTTGTCTGTATGCGTGTTTGTGTGCTATTTGTCATATGGCAGAGACTTCAATTCACGTGTGGCAAATACGATAATACATTTTTTGAAGGTCATGGAAGTTCATAGAAATTTTTGTTGTTTTCTTGTCTGTCTTGCTTCATTAGAGTTTGCCATATAGGTGATAAGTCTATCTCTTCTTCCTTATTTACTGCATTCGATGTGGTTAAACTGTTCAAGGCTTCAGAGGTCAACCTTTCTTTACTTGGTGAATGAAATCCTCTTCCAAGAATTTCGACATTGTCGAAATCAATCTTTTGTCCGCCGTCTATCGCATGTATTGCTATAGCCGATCTTTTTAATTCTACTTCATTTCTAGGTGGACGTTTCGTGCATAGTCTATGATTGTTCACTCTGAACTTCACTTGTCTACTGTTCTCCCCTATATAGCATGCATCACATTCTGAACACATTATCTTGTAGACGCAATTACTTTGTGACATTTTGGGAACTATATCTGTGACATGCACCAGCGCTTTCTCTAGAGAATTAGGTTTGACATAGGCTTTAATATTATATGAGGCAAATAGTCTTTGAAGTTGTTCAGCTGTGTCCTTTCAATGTGGAGTGGCTATCGTCGATAGCCAAGATCTTTCAAATTTCTGTTTTCCCTAATGCTCCTTTCTATCGATAATAATAACTAGCAGCTTTTTCGGATAACCATTTCCAGTCAAAATATGGTTCATGTTGGATATCTTGTTCTCCATATCATCATTATTTGTTATAATGTTTCTAGCTCTGTGAACGAGATTTAAAGCTACTGAAACTTTCATTCCTATTGGATGATCTGATTGGAAATTCAAATACTTGTTGGAATGTGTCGGTTTTCTGTATATTGTAAACTTTAATTTCTCATCAGTTTGTCTTTTTACAAGATAATCAAGAAAGTTTGGAGTTTCCTCAGCCGATTTTACCTCATTAGCAAACTATATATATATATATATTATAGGATTAAGTTAATTTGTGTGAGAACGTTTTATGATGAAGAGCGAAAGCTGCTCAAACGCAAGCTAACCAGAAGTCTTTGTAACGACCGTGAACAGTAGTGGGCGACAAAAACGAAAGAGATGGAAAAGGCATCGGCGATTGTTAACGCCAGACAACTGTTTAGACTTATCAGGGAAACAGGTGGTAATAGGCAAACGATAAGTGAAACAATCTTTGAGAAAAGTGGCACCATAATTAGCTCCCAGGATAGACGACTGAAACACTAGAAAGTACACTTTGAGGAGCAGTTTAATTGGCTTACAACCACACTCAACTTACTGAACATCCAACACCTCCCTGAATGAGATTTAGGCACAGGTCCTGCGTCCCTAACTGAGGTTACTAAGGTTGTCACTAGCCTGAAAAAAGGCAAAGCAGCAGGACCCGATGGAATCACTCCAGAGGTATTTAAGTACGGTGGAGACAGCTTACTGTCCGCGTTAACTAAGGTACTAGGCAGCGTCTGGATATCATAGAAAGTCCTGTCGGGTTGGTGTAAGTCATTGATGATCCCCATATGTAAGAAGGGAGACAAGTCTTCCTGTGATAATCACAGGGGGATTAGCTTAGCCAATATGGTATCTAAAGTTTTAAGCTCAATAATCATGCGTAGACTATGCGATCCACGGGAGGAACAAAAACGAGAGAACTAGGTAGCCTTTAAACCGTTAGGGCGTATTGATCATGTCTTCACCCTTCGACAGATTCTGGAACATGGCATACTTAACGACGTCCAATAATCGTCATATTTCTTGACTTGAAAGAAGAATTCGATTTCGTCGACCGAGAGGTACTCTGGCGATGTTTGGTTGTGAAAGGAATGTCGAGAAAATACATTGCACTGATCAAGGCACTCTACTCCAACTTAAAGCCGGCCAGGTGCGAGCTTACGGCAAGTTGTCATCTGAAGTGGTGTCCGTCAGGCATGTCCATTATCCCCGTTTCTATTCAATTTCATCATAGATGTACTAATGGACTTGACCCTAACTCACTTCAGAGACTCAGGGATTGACTTGCTACCAGGGAATAATAATCTCGTTGACTTAGAATATGCAAACGATGTAGTCCTTCTAGGCGAGGACGCTGACAAAATGCACAGTCTTTTGAACACCTTGAGCTATAATTTAGGAATGTTTGGCATGCGATTCGCTCCCGCCAAATGTAAGATGATGCTACAGGACTGGACTACACTGACTCCTAGTTTAGAAATAGGGAATGAATTGGTACAGCGTGTTGGCCAATTCACGTATTTGGGTGGGAAGTTGCATCAGCCGGTACCAGTAGGTTGGTCGCTGACGAAATCTCAGCACAGATACAGGAGGCTCGTTTAGGATATGACAGTTTGCGCCGTCTCTGACGTAGACGTGATATCCGGTTAGCTGTCGACCAAAGGGTGGGTGTACTGCTCAGCAGTCCGCTCCGTCCTTCTTAATGGCTGTGAAACCTGGCCATTGAGAGCGGAAGACAAGAAAGGATAAGCCGTCTTTGATCATAGGTGCCTGCACTCTATCTCCCGTGTGAAGTGGTATAATAAGGTGAGCAATATTGAGATTAGGCGTCGAGTGCTAGGTAAGGAGGGGGAATCAGTCGACGAGGCTGTGAAATTACATCGACTGAGATGGTTGGGACATGTGTTACTCATGCCTAGTCATCGTCTTCTTCGACGGGCAATGTTACCTGACATAGGAGGGATCAGATTGGAAAAGATGTAGTTAGTGGTGGTCAAACTAAAACATGGCACCAGTAAATGAAATGCACAACAGTTAGATTAAGCCAGCCACGTAGGAAGGCGTAAACTTCCTGGTTAGGGTCCACGGGACGGTAAAATCCAGTGGCCCGAGACAATCGGTGATATGGCTCAAAATCGTTCTCAATAGCTAGTGCAGAAGCATCCACTCCTTGTGACTTATAATTTCCAGTGAAACTATATTGTTCTTCGTTATTACTATTCCTTTTGTCTCAAATCCCTGTTTACTGTCTCTATTTTCCATTTCTTCTCTTACTTTGTGTACTACAAGGAGGGAGTGTGGCGACTTGAACTGCTACACATCTGTTCAAAGTTCTATGTTGAAAACAGACAGACAAATTAGCCGAGTTTCTGACCCATAAAGAGGAAATAAGTTAACTTTCATGTTTAAATTCTGAATTTTATTATTTACACTGAGTTTAATTGATTTCCTAACCGATTTCAGAGTGATCAGAAGTTTCACATGCTTATTCAGCCTTGCCGTTGGCATCTTTATTCGTGCTGAAAGCGCGTAGTTGAAAAGATGGTGTCTAGATCAATGAAAGAAGGAATCTCTTTCCAATTTCGTCCACTGATAGTGATTGGTTCTTGTAGTTGTTTGGTTGGTTAATTTAATCACCTCTCTGTGTTCACTTGATGTCCTGTCTCTGTTGCCTGCTTCTCCTCCCAACTTGTTGGTTTTTGCTTATAAGTCTTCTGGAATTTTTTTACATTGAACATACATGAATAGCTTAGTGTCATCAAGATTTGCAGAAGTAGAGAAGAACTTAGTAGGACAGCAACGATTTGTGAGAATCGAATAAAGCAAAAAAATTATTATTATCTGTAAACCAGGGAGGCTATGCTGGTTCATTACTGTTCATTCCATTATCCAACTAAGATAGGTTGTCACCAGTAGGGTGCAGCAGGTCGGGCGTGAGGACAAATACTCGCCGAAGACATTGGCTAGGGGTCGTGAATTGGCAGAAGTTAGAATTCATGGACCATTGGATCGGGTCCCAGTGGCTTAATGGTATACGAGCTCGCCTTGTAACCAGAAGGTCCTGGGTTCGAATCCCGGAGGGTGCGTACTGATGAAGAGTCCCAAACTAGGACGAAACAGCTGTCTAGTACTCTCTAACTAATGTCAGCTCATGGTGAAAATCCTGTAAGATAGGTTGTGTTAAGAATTTCGATGATGATGAACTTGACTAATCGTCACTCTTGGAAAACTAGCTCCATGGAAACAGTTCAACTGGTAAATACAAATAGAAAAGGCAAAATTTTGTCTTTATTACGTGTTGTTTTACATGTTGATCACGGATTGATATCATTTAGAGGACCATTGGAAATCAGGGAGTACTGGACAGTTGTTTCATCCGTCCTGGTTTGGGAATTATCGGCAGTACGCACGCACTGGTGTTCGAACTCAGGACCTTAGTAAGGTGCCTCTTCAGTGGAATCCAACGAATATGCACTGAAGACGCACTTGATGAAGAAGAAAGAAAAAAATGGTTTAATTTAATGCCTGAAACTAATAATGCTAGTGGAATGTATGGCACTATTAAAATACATAAACCAGGGTACCCCGTACGACCAATAGTAGATTTTAAGAATACTCCTACTTATGAATTATCAAAACACTTAGCTCTAATACTATGCCCCATTAGAAATCGCTCAAACTGTAGACTAGCTAATTCATTTGAGATGAAAAATAAACTAAATGACATAAACCTAGATAATAATGAAACAATGGTTAGTTTTGATATAACCAGTCTTTATACTAACATACCAATCAATATGGCCTTAGAAGCAGTTAAAAAAGAACTAACTGCAGACCTTGAACTCACTTATAGGACGACACTACCCATTGATGAAATTATTTTAGGAATTCAGTTGTGCCTCATATCTACTATCTTTAAATTCCAAGGCAAAATATATAGACAAACTGAAGGTGTAGCAATGGGATCACCAATATCCCCTATCGTAGCAGATATATTTATGGATAGCTGGGAAAATATGGCTCTTAATACGCTTAATCCTACTCCAAAAATATGGTGGAGATATGTGGATGACACTTTCACAGTGTT